TAAAACAGAAGAATCTGAATTTTCAGTCAAGGCTTTTTTTCTTCTTGTGATCGTCTTGAGACCTGTTAAATTTGTCCTGATGCTTCTTGTCCGGGCCCCATGTTGGAAACCACATGGTCGAGTATTACTTACAAAGCATTTTTATTTTTTTAGAGCATTTCTTTTTCGTGCATTGAGTCTCTGGATGAATCGTCTCTGGGAAGCAGTCGAGTCACCCCAATGAAAACATAGAAATTTGCTCGATCAGCTGTAAAACTTTATATTTCTGCACGTAAAAGTTTTTAAAACCACAGATAATGAAAACATAATAGTTTACTCTGAGTAAATATTTGCGTTAAATGACATTTTATTGTGCTATGTGTAAAAGTGTTAAAGGATGAAATAGGTAAAATGAACAAAAAGTTTGATGTTCCTCGGTTAACTACAGGTTTTGAAAGCATTTTGCACTTTTTTGTATCATGACATCAGACGTTGTTCGGGTAACTTTCATGACGAGAGTTCTCGGGGGATTGTGTTTCTTCAACACGTCCCACGGCTGCGATCAATACTAATCAAAGAGCAGTCGCTCGGTGTGTCACCTATTGACCATGTGAGAGAGGCTGTTAACTGCTGTCTTAATCGTAGTGTGAGAGTGTGTGTGTGTGTGTGTTTTGAGCAATGTCGGGTTCATCTCCAGGTCAGGGTCAGTCACGCTCATAAAGGAGGCGGGGTTTAAGAAATGGCTCATTGGCCAGGTCAGAGGGTGAGGGGTCAGAGGTCAAGGGGGCGGCTCAAAGAGTGAAAACGCTGACCAGGCCGTGGGGTACGATAAAGTTCAAAGATGTAACTCACAACATTACGGCCTCTCTGTGTGCCTCCACCCCCTCTGGACTTTATTTGTCCTTCACATGACAACACACATACACTGTGTTTTTGTTGTTGTTGTCGACCTGATAGCATCTGCACACTTGAAAAAGCAGCAGCTCCGTAGATCACCCTCGAAAACAACACGGCGGTGACAACCATTATCTCAGTGAATAATTAGACCATTTAAAGCTTTTATTTATCAATTACACTTGATAAAATTGCAATAAAAGTGAAAAATGAAACCGGTGCCTCCCTGGTGGATTCAAATCTAAACATAACAGTGGCAGTAAAACTTTATTTCTATAGCGTTTATCTAGACAAGGCTATCAAGGCTATCTGAAAGGCTTTTAAGAATTGATTTAAAAAGTAAAGTGCTGCCAATTCTAATCTCCTCAGTCAAGGATTTCCAGAGTAAAAGCTCGGTCACCCTCAGTTACCAGCCTTGACTTACAGGAACTACCAGTGTTGGTTGGGAGATCTTAGATCACGGCTTGGAGCGCCGGGAGTTAGAAGCTCAGGATTATAATCGTGCTGAGCTTTAGAAGTCAATGAAATAATCTTGAAATCAATCCTGAAAAATCAACTGGCAGCCAGTGAAGGGAAAGTCCATAAAACTTCCACAGTCGACCGATCGTCTGCCACATTGTGAATATCATCAGACCAACGCTAATGAACCAGAGCTGCAGGTTTCTGTTCATTTCAGAGTGTTGCTCTCGAGCAGGTGAGAACGCACTCGTGTGTCAGCAGTGACTCATCCCCTGAAACCTTCCTGGACTCTTCAATCTGCCAATGTTGCCAGGCAACCGACACACTTTCTTCCTGTAAGCGGGAGTTGGGCCGACATCTCTTAGCAACACGAGCAGGGTCCAGTCCGGATGCTTAAAGAACCCATCGTGTTTCCTCCACGACAATAACAACATCAAGGTTTAGATGAGACGAGGTGAAAATCTAAATTAATGCACTTGGTCCTTGACGTAACAACCGTCTCTACTTCCACAGTCCTACTTTCAATCTGTCTCCAAATAGTTGGAATAAGAAAAAAAACCTGTAAGCTCAAAGATCATGATCCATATTTGTAACAGGAAAATAATTTTAAAAAGCACAAGACCACAAAATGAGAGCAGCGCTTTGTTTTTTTCTAGATTTGATCTATTTACCAGTTTTGTTTCCTTACTCTGTAAAGCTGCATTGCTTCACATTAACAATTCCAGTTGTAATTACTATTAATTAATTAATATTCATCAAATAAGAGTTCACAAATGTGCAATAAATGCAGCGTTAATACTGTAAAAACACACACGACGCTAATTTAAAAGCTCATTACTTGTAAACAAAACATGCAGGTGCACAGATACTTTATCATTTAATCCTTAAAACTTCATTTGTTTGATTTCAGTTTCAAATTTCAGTTTGTCTTTTTTAGAATGTGATTTTTCCAAACACACTTACTCTCAAAAATCACCTCGGATGCTAAATGCTAAACATTTCATTTGCACCTCTTTGGGACACACTGACACACCGGAGGGAAGAATTCAGACTTTTGATCCAAGAGTTCCAGATGTTTTAGAATTCAGTGACGACATGTGGAGTTCCCCTTACAGTGCATGTGCACGTGCACCTGTGTGTGTGTGTGCGTGTGTGTGTGGTCGCTATACGATCCGTGTAACAGGCTGATTTGGATTTTATGAGGTCAGGGGTCAACAGGAACGGGGAGGAGTGACCTCCTATCACTTTGGGGTCAAACTGAGGAGAGAACTGTCACCACCGGACACCCTCACTTTTACTGTCTCTTCAACTTGAATTTACGCCATGTCGTCATCTCTCCGCCTCCGGCGCCTCACTCGTTCTCCCTCTCTCTCTTGATGTTTTTCTACATTGACGTGTTTTTAACTGTTTCACGCGTTCATGAAACGGTTTCAGAGCAGAAACTTACATTTCTGTTAAAAACAAAAAGATGTTTGTGGGTGATGGACGACGGAGTCGTGGGATTTTTTCACGTCTGGGCCACTGTGGTATTCTTTCTCGTGACCAGTGAGGTCGTGATTATTTTTAGGATTCGGTCTTTGAAGCTGCACTGGACTTCTTAATTCAATACACTGAGATATTATATATTTTTTTATTTTTCTTCATGTGCTTCATTTGTGTCTTTGAACGTGGTGTGTATTATATCATGTAGCTGTGGAAAGTTACCAGAGCCTATTTCCGTCGCACCAGAAAGAGGAAAAAAGATTGCTCTCGTTATGTAACTTGAAAGTTTATCGTTATAACAGAACGTTTGTTAAAATTGTAACGCACTATTATAAATTATAACTCATGTTTGAACTCAGCAGAGCAGAAGGCTCGACCAAGGCCCAACAAATTTCACGCACTCATTGCTTGAAAAATCGAAATTGATGGAGTTCTTTCTTGTGTCTCCTCCTTCCACCAAGTTTTGTGGAAATCCGTGCAGTTGAGTTTTTATGTAATCCTGCTGACAAACAAACAAACAAGCACAAAAACCGGGATGAAAACACACAACCTCCTTGTTGGAGGTGATAGAGGAGAAAATGTGAAAACTAAACCGCCTGCAGTCTCTCCTTCTCTTCCTGTCACCCATCAAACACGCTCCACTTTCCTCCTTTCCGTCTGTATTGTATTCCTCAGTTTTATATTATAATCCCATTTACTCTCCCTCTATTTCTACTCCCTCTCTCTCTCTCCTTCCTGAGCTGAACCCGTTGAACTGCCTCCCCACCGCACCCTTTCTCCTCGCTCACTTCCTGTTTAGAGGAACAATTAAAGGATTGTTGCCACAGACCCCTGGGGCCGAGCGCTGAGACCTTGATCTAGAACAGCCACCACATCGACTGCAAAGATTCACATAAAACATAGATCGCAGGACCTCCTGACACGAGAGTGACAACAGGAGTAAAAGTAAAAGGAGCAGGGACACTGGACACTGTCTTAAAACGTAGCGAGAAAGATTAGCCTCGATCATATTTACAGTTTAGTCATGGTCAACTCGTGGAGATGGAGCGGGTTGTCCACTATTCGAAAGTCGGTAGTTCGTTCCCCCGGCTCGTCCTGTCCTCATTCCAAAACAGCTGAGCCGGCAGCGTGTGATCAGACAACGCAGCGTGAAGTAGTTGCTGTGTGAGCGTCGACATTTTAAAATGACAGATATGACGCTGGTTGATTGTTGGAAGCTTTCTGTCGCCTGTGGGAAGAATCATCAAGAGAACTGATGACACGTTCGTGTTGAGGAGAAACAAGTGCCTCAGTAATGAGGTTGTTCTAACACCGGCCAGTTTCCTAAATTTGTATCGTTGGATGTAAACACTTAAGTTTAAGTGAATTAACTTTAAGTTAATCACTAGATTCCCAGCGGTCGGTGTAAACGTCGTATTAAGATTAAAGTAAGGATTCACAGACGAGAAAAACTATTTTACATCCAAATACTTGAAATAACTTGTCGTAAAACAGCAAGGGAATTGAATACCAAAGAAAATACTTTCCTCAAGTCTACTATTACCGTCAGTACATACACACTCGTAGTAAAATATTATCGCACAGTCAGCGTCCTTTGTTGCATTTGGCCACCCCCCCCCCCCCCCGCTCTCAAATCATCCCTCTGCACTTTATGATAGATTTGAATTCTTTCCCAAAGAGATAGAAATATGCTCATCAAAAGTCAAACAGCTAATCTTTATAATTTGTTGTAAACATCGTGCAGTTTTACAAAGTAGAAGACTCGTATGACTAATCCTTTATCTAATCATAAGAGCTCTGGTGGAGGAGGTTCTGTGCGTGGAGGCGTTTTCCCCAAAGGAAAATCTGAAAGGGAATCTGCCATAAATGGAGAATCCTCTGGACTGGTGCTGGGAAATCTAACATCGTGTAGAAGTTAGGGACATTTTTCCTTTATGCACAGATATGATCAAAAAAGTCTGTTCCCACAGTGAGAGGCCACACAACAGAGTAAATACCCGTCACTTGAAAAGAGAGGGAAGCTCCGTGTAAAGTCTGTGTGTAACTTCTCTCGTTGTTTGTTTGTTCATGGTTGCGCAGTAATTGTTAACTTGGCTTTAGCTATAAAACAAAACGTGCACAAGACTTTCCATCTCCATCTCCTTGCTCGTCGTGTGACGATGTTCGTGTCCGTGTGTCCGTCACAGGCGGAGCGGCGGGCGTACAGAGAGGCGGAGATGAGCATGATGGACGACTTATCAGAGGCGGACTTTCAGAAAGAGGAGGAACCAGCCAGCCCAGAGCCTCCGCCTTCACAACAACACACGGACCCCGCATCCCCCACGGTCGCCGTGACGCCAGAGCCGGTCGCCAGGGGAGACCAGGCCACACCCAATGAGGTAGAGTACCAGGTACGTCAGCCAATGGTTGTAGCCATGTCTGAAAACAAACAAACATTTTAAAGAGGTTGCACTCTGGATGTTTCCTGTGAGGCGACAACGAGGGCCGAAGCTGCTGCGATTAACCTGCTGCTCACATTACACCTCCTCTCTCTCTCTCGCTTGTTTCCTAAAACCAGCCCAGCTCATAAAAGTTTCAGGTGGATGATAATAGTTCTCACTACCTGAGGAAATAACCTCTTGTTCTGGAAATTTACACGGAAACAAGCTCAAAGCAACGAGGTCCGGCCGCAAAAACCCGATGAAGGTTTCGAAAACGATGAGGTTGTCGTACTAACGTCGTGCCGTGAAAGGTTTTTGTTTTATCTGCTCTTTTATTTTGTGTTTTCAAAAATGAATCTATGAGGAGAATACTTTTCTGTTTTCATGTTACAGAAATCCAAGCCTGTCTTACTTTCAGGGTTTCAGTCTTTCACTGAAACATAAAATATCTTTCCTGTTAAGAAACCTATCATCTTACAAACTGGGCACGAATCCTTAAACGCGGTTCGTGTTTCCTTTGTACTCGCAGGATGGCCGGGGCTTTGGCATCGGCACGCTGGTGTTCGGGAAGCTGCGAGGTTTCTCGTGGTGGCCCGGCAGGATCGTTTCCTGGTGGATGAGCGGCCGGAGTCGAGCCGCCGACGGCACCCGCTGGGTCATGTGGTTCGGCGATGGCAAATTCTCTGTGGTGAGTGCGAGTCGCTTCACGATGAAATTGATCATATGCTGGTTTAGCATCTGTTAAATTATCAGGCAATTCGTCAAAGGAGACCTAATGAAGAAGAAGTCCAACCACAGATAAGAGGTCTGTTCTTATTATAGCTGCTAACTTCACTTAATCTCGATCTTTTATAGTCTAAACTCTTATTATTCTAATTTCGTCCTTTCAGGTGCACGCTTCTGTCTTAGGCGCTGTTCTTCTTATGAGATTTATCAGCTCCAAATACAAGTTTACTCAGTGTTTAATAGTTTAAGGTAAATCCAACACTTAATTTGTTCTCAGCAGAAACTTCACCAAGTGATCTTTTATTTTGGTTTGTTTATAAAGTGACCTTCACTTTTTCCATTTTCTTTTGACTGACTTGAAATTGGAATTTAGTAAAAAAAAAAAAAAACCACTTAGCAAATACTCTGGACCCGAGACTTTGGCATCCAGATTCCTTTAATTCTGTGAAAGGCTTTTATTTTAATCTTGGTGACATTCAGTCTTTTATTATCATGTCTTTATTTTGCAGGTTTGTGTGGAGAAGCTGATGCCGCTGAGCTCCTTCTCATCTGCCTTCCACCAGCCCACCTACAACAAACAGTCCATGTACAGGAAAGCCATCTTCGAGGCTCTGCAGGTAATGAACCCCCTCATTAAAACTCCCGCCCCCTAGTTTTGTGTCATTCTGCAGTTATCATACATTCCTGCAGACGGAATAAACATCTAAAAGACATAAATATACATGTGTAGGTCTAAAGGTCGTATTTGACTCCTTCTCTTATGCAACGTTGGTGTTTTGCATATGTGGAGGTGTTTTTTTTCATCCAGCTCCATCCACAATTGTGGTATCATGAACATGTTGTTACATGAACGGACATTAGTTTAAATCTGCGTCAGCAATTAAAGAAGAATAAAACGATAATAATGAAGTAGAATCTTAATTGTGCATTTGCAAAATAAATACACAGTCATAAAATAGGAATACTCGTGAAGACATAATGAGAACAAATAGCCTGTTTCATTTCTAATTGTGTTTTTGACTGTCAACGTGATTAAAATGCAGCGGGGCATGTGTTCGTGTGTTTGTGTGTTTGTGTGTTTAGGTGGCCAGCGTGCGGGCGGGGAGGCCAGTTCCTTCCTGTGATCCGAGCGATGATGCCGAGGGTGTGGACATTCAGACCAGACAGATGATAGAGTGGGCAATGACCGGCTTCCTGCCCAAAGGTCCACAGTCACTGGATCCTCCAGAAGGTAAACAGCTCTTCATAATCCCAAACAAACAATGACACGCCCGCACTAATACACACACACACACACACACATGCAGTGAATTATACCTGGTGAGCATTCCAATTCTCCTCGACGTGTTCCTAAAAACAAAAAACCCCGTCGTCACACAGAGGAGCAGAATCCGTACAAAGAAGTGTACCCTGAGATGTGGGCGGAGCCTGAGGCAGCGTACACGCCTCCACCTGCAAAGAAACCGCGCAAGAACCTCGCCGAGAAAGCAAAGATCCGAGAAGTGATCGACGAGGGGACCAGAGGTGAACATGCACGGTTCATCTGACTGAAACTGATCATGTTATAATTTATATATACACACGCACATGTTGTATATGACTCATCTTACTTGTTGTGTTTTTGCAGAGAGACTCATATGTGAGATCAAAAAGAAAACCAGGAATATAGAAGGTAAAATCTCAATGGATGTATTTACTTTAAATGTATTTATATAATTATTTGGTCTGTCCTCCAAATCCAAGCTGTTGCATTAAGTTTAATAATGAAATGGCTGAATGACAAATGATTTAATAATGTTGAATGTTGAGATATTAAGAAACTCTAGGATTAAAACTAGGATCAAAACTCTTCTTTAATTGTTTGATAAACGGCATTATTTAAAAATTCATTACCCTTTTTATGAAACGCTCTTCTCTGGTTAATAAAATATTATTAAGTTACATCATCTGGGAGCTTTTAAATCAACAGTTCATTCATTCTCATCTAGAACAGATCATTTGAGGATTTTTTTATTGACTTTTTTTTTTTTTTTTTTATTGGTTATTATTTAATTATCCTTAAAGTCGGTTGTTCCCGTTCACATCTCAGACATTCGGCGACAATAACTACAGCAGAATTCTTTACTGTTTGAATGGAGGGAGTTTTGTGATTCAGTCCTGTTATTGATTTGAAGTGCGGCGTTATGTTTACCTTTCCCCGAGTTGTATTTACCGCACTTTAAAATGTTGGAGTTTGTGTGTCTGCCCTTTTTTTTTCCAGATATCTGTATTTCCTGCGGAAGCCTCAACGTCTCTCTGGAGCATCCTCTCTTTTCAGGAGCAATGTGTCAGGGTTGCAAAGTAAGACATCACCCAGCATTTGTCCTTTCATTTATTGAAACTGGTAAATAATTCAATATTATCCTTAATTGCTTCTGGCGGAATCAGATCATCATGATGTGACATGAAGTGTTTTGTCCAAATGGACAATTTAAAATCTAGGAAATCTAGAGTTACTGAGGTTTCTCGTTCTTCTGATCGTGTTTATTTATTTATTTTTTTGAATCCTGACAGAACTCCTTCCTGGAGTGTGCCTACCAGTACGACGACGATGGCTACCAGTCCTACTGCACCATCTGCTGTGGAGGCAGGGAAGTGCTCATGTGTGGCAACAACAACTGCTGTAGGTCAGTACAGGACCGTACACACGGCTCGGCGTGGCACCGCCAGAACCCGGCTGCTCCTTTTTGTGGCTCGGACAAAGGTTTTGGATTTCACACCAAGAAAAAACAATTTACCCACAAACATGACGCATTACGACCGAGTCAGCCAGGCGACGTGGAACCGGTTTATTTATGTGAATGCAAAGTAAACTGTTGACTTCTGACTTCATCCCTGCAAATACTGCGGATATCAAGTGTCGGAATAATAAACTTACAATTAACTTCAAAACTGCAGAGAGACACTGCCGCCAGCTTTAATGTGTCCCTACAGAGAGGAACCAAGTAAAAAACGATACGCAGCAGCAGGCGAAGACGAGAGAATTATTCATTTAACATATTTAACTCACAAAAAAACACACGGGTCACATATATAATGTGCTGATTTGGTTTGGTTCAAACTCTTCCAAGGAGACAAACCACAAGTCTGTGAGAGTGGATATGATACTTTCAGCACAACTTTAACAGGAAGTGGACGAGAAGTAAAAGACAACAAGGCGTCATTTCTCTAATTTGTCCGAAACCACAGGCGGGAAAGCCCCCGGACCATATTCATGAGTGGTGCAGTAGAGAAACTTAAAACACGATGAACCCCCTCCCCCCGTGTGTGCAGGTGTTTCTGTGTGGAGTGTGTGGATCTGTTGGTCGGAGCCGGCTCGGCAGCGACAGCCATCAAAGAAGACCCCTGGAACTGTTACATGTGCGGACCCCGCAACACCTACGGGTTACTGCGGCGACGGGACGACTGGCCCTGCAGACTCCAGCACTTCTTTGCCAACAACCACGAACAGGAATTCGTGAGTCTTGATTGACATATTAAACAATTATGATCATATAAAGAAAAGTCGTTATAGTATTAGCGGATATTCTTTGAATATATAAATATATTATTTATACTAAGTGCCAGTTATTAGAATTATTAAATTAACCTTTTTAAATATATTATTTTAGGGAAAATTGCCTTAAGTTAGATGGTAAAGAAAATAAAAACAAGACATATTTTAAATTTCCTGTATTTTCTTACATTTCTTGTGGCTCCACTTCTCATATATTTATCTAGATTGAAACATGGACTTCTCATATAAATCAAAACCTATTGACATAGGTTAAACTTTGCCCAAATCATTATCTAAATAAATGTGCAATTTTCAAAAAGGAAACAGCTTCCTCTCTTCTCTTCTTCACTCTCTATTTCAGGAGCCAGCCAAGTTGTATCCTCCAGTCGCGGCAGAGAAGAGACAGCCAATCAGAGTCCTCTCTCTGTTTGACGGCATCGCCACAGGTATATGAACACGGTGGCTGGAACTGGCAATTATTTCACTATTAATAGGCAACGTCAGTCTGAAGCAGCGACCGGGTGGTGCTGCTGCTGCTGCTGGGAAATTTCTTATTCAGACATTCATGCTCCACAGATAATGATTCCTAATGACCTCAATTAATCCCCTGACTTTCCTTCTAGCGCCACCATGAGGTTTACATTTGTGGATGGAACACATGAATGTTTATTTCTTTGCTATATAACATTAAAACATTACAGTTGCTCAACATCAGCGTTGTCATTCTGTCACTACTGGTTTAAACTTAATTCTTTACTCGATAAGAAACACAAGTTCTCACGTCAACACTAAATAAGTCATTTCATTCTTCTTCTTTGGTGAATGACTGAAATGATCAACCCATTGCTCAGGTCTGCTGGTGCTGAGGGATTTGGGCATCCAGGTCGACAAGTACGTGGCGTCTGAGGTGTGTGAAGACTCCATTACTGTCGGCATGGTACGACACCATGGACGCATCATGTACGTGGGAGACATACGCAACGTAACCCGCAAACACGTAGGTGACACTCTCATTTCAAAGCAGTACAAATAAGCGCCAGGTCTGAATTTACAGTCGCCAACGTGCGTTCAGATCAGACATGATGCATTTAATGCAACACGATTACTTGTCTTTGTTGTCTTTCATCTGTCAGATTGACGAGTGGGGGCCTTTTGATCTGGTGATAGGAGGAAGCCCCTGTAACGACCTCTCCATAGTCAACCCTGCACGCAAAGGCCTTTACGGTGAGAAGTGATCCTGAGTCAAAAGATTTTTCTGGATCAAAAACAGATCCAGAAAATGTGTACGATTTGAGAAATGACGTTGTTTTTCCTCATCACCACAAACGGTTTCTCTCTCCTCCTGCAGAGGGAACTGGTCGGTTGTTTTTTGAGTTTTACCGACTGCTGCACGAGGCGCGACCAAAGCCAGGCGACGAGCGGCCGTTTTTCTGGCTGTTTGAGAACGTGGTCGCGATGGGAGTCAGTGACAAACGGGACATCTCTCGCTTTTTAGAGGTGCGGTGAACATGCCGAATGAAGCCCAGCCGCAAAATACACACTCACACTTACTTACGTAAAATATCTATCCATATAGAAAAAGACATTTTATCATTTGTACCAGTTTCTTATCTGTGTCTCTCACATAAACGCTTTTCAATGCAGCAGAAAACGTTTTTTCTGTTTCTACACTCACACATAATTGAACATTCGTCGGAGTCTCACACAGAAGATGTTCCCGTTCGGTGAAAACAGTAACGCAACCCTGTCGTCTGTCTGCAGTCTAATCCAATAATGATCGACGCCAAGGAAGTCTCGGCTGCCCATCGCGCTCGCTATTTCTGGGGAAACCTGCCAGGCATGTCCAGGTGATACATACCTACAAACACAAACACACAATGAAACCATTGAAACACAATATGTTTTGTTTTTCTTTTGCGTTACCTTGGTTTCCTTGTCGCAGACCCCTGGCACCCATGGTGAATGACAGGCTGGACCTACAGGAGTGCCTCGAGCATGGCCGTCATGCCAAGGTAGCCACCTGTGTGTGTGTGTGTGTGTGTGTGTGTGTGTGTGTGTGTGTGTGTGTGTGTGTGATTATTATCATTATCTAACTTTTTAACTCATGTTGAGGCACAAATCACATCTTATAATTTAACACCAACAGGAAAAAAAAGAGTGTAAATGTGCAGCATCTAAAAATGAATGTCTCCAACGTATGAAAATAGAAAAAGAGGAAATATCTACTTTCATCAATACATTTGCAGCAGAAGCGTTTTCCCTTTGTCGACTCTCTCTCTCTCTCTCTCTCTATATATATATATATATATCCGTACTAGTTTTAATGCTTCGTATGATCACGGAAAGCTGATGCACAAACGGACGACGGCGGCCGGATTAAAAACAGCATGTGTGTGTTTGTCTGTCTGTGTTTGTGATGTGTTTGGCTCTGGATGGTAATTCTAGTTTGAGAAGTTGCGTACGATAACGACACGCTCCAACTCTGTGAAGCAGGGGAAAGACGAGCATTTCCCCGTCTACATGGACAACAAGGAGGACATCCTGTGGTGTACAGAGATGGAGAGGTACGGTGGTGCGAGTGTGTTGCGTGTCTCCAACCTGTTTATGTGTCCAACTAATGATTTAACGTTATTATCTATTAAATTAAAAAAGGTAATAAAAACAAAACTTGCATTAACTTTCATCTGCAGTCAGTAGAATTGGATGCATGGAGGAAATCTGAAGCTGTTAAACATCATCAGACATTTGATTACAACCACAAATCCTGTGGAAGTAAAATAACGGCGTCTCCCGTGTGTCTCCAGGGTGTTTGGTTTCCCTGTCCACTACACTGACGTGTCCAACATGAGTCGTCTGGCCAGGCAAAGGCTGCTGGGACGTTCCTGGAGCGTCCCCGTCATCAGGCACCTCTTCGCCCCACTCAAGGAGTTCTTCGCCTGCAACTAGTCACACACCAACTCTCTCTCTCTCTGTCATGCACACACACACACACACACACACACACATGCTTACACACATAAACATGTAATGACAAACACACAAACATCTACACACTGTATACAGATTGTACATGAAGGTTTGCTGACACAGGATCACCAGAAACACACACACACACACACACACACACACACACACACACACACCTGTAGGCTGACCTTAGTCCCCTGGTGCTAGCTTCCTGATTTACACCAATGACTGTTTATTAAGATGGACGCCGCGTCTCCTCTTCCTCCTACTTTACAAGACTTAATCCGAAACATCCCGGATACGTGCCGGTGCGGCCATCTTGAGCTTTTTATGCCATTTTGAGCCGGATCGGGGGGAGTGGAGCCGCCATTTTGAGACATATCACCAACTATTTAAAAATAATAAAAACCAAAAGAAAATGATTTGATATGTAATAAAGGTTTGTGACCTTTACTGCAGCCAGCCGACAGGTGGGTGGGTGTGGGGGGGGGGGGCAATCAAGACATTTAGGCTTTGCTTTCGGGAGCTGTCGTGTTTTCCATCTTTATAAACAGACGTTGATTTACACAAACGGACACACACACACTGGTGCAGAGTCTCTGTACTGTAAATCTCCACACACAAACTTCCTGTCCAACCTTGAAACTGATGTCTTCTGGCTTTACTCTGTGGTGGCAGCTGGAGTTCAAACCTCCAGGGGGTGCAAAGCTGACACAGACGCCCTAACATTTTTTTTTTATTTTTTTTTTTTATACAGAACGCTCTGAACACATCAACACACCAATGATTTCCTCTCAACCACAACACGTAACTGTATTCATGTGTAGTGACAGTGCTGCTGGTACATTACAGTGCAACCAACACAAATACATACAAAAACAAACACACACACTCCAGTAAATGCTCGTGGTGCTGGTCAGGCAGTGATAAGAGTCCTAATGGTGCCACTTTAATAACACTTTTACAGTTCTTGGTGCTCTTAGACACTGAACAATCTCAGGTTGTTTCAGTCGCTGCAGTTTTATTTCCCAACCTGAGTTAAACTAATCGATTATGAGCAGGTAGACGCAAAACACCGGCCAAGAGAGGAGATCCTGAGGTTTCATTGATTTCATTAGATCTGGTGTGAAAGTACCGGCAGGACGGTATCCCATAGAGATCAGGACTAAATCAGATTGAAATTTGTTCTGTTTCCTGGAGGAAATGCTGCTCTGGAAGGAAAAATCTCAGGGATTGAGGTAAACAACAAAGTCTTAATGACAATTCAAAGTGATTTACATCGAATAAAACAACGAGAAATAACGAAATAAACTAGAAGATCCGAATGCTTACGCCCTGGCTCACCTCACCGATCTGCTCCGGAATCAAATAGATGCTTCCTGGCTCACGCTCCACTCGTCCACAGAATTATTTTTGCAATCCTGCTAACTAACAAACAGACAGATGAAAACAACGTCTTTGTCAGTGTCCGTGAATTTTGTGAGTGCGGCTGCAGGTTAAGGCTATACTCAATGTACCTACTGTTTATTTATATCCACAGGAATATTCCTCGTCTCTGCGGATGAGGCATATTCTTCATATCGTCATGAAAATACTTTTAAAGTCAGATTGAAGTAGGAAAGTCTTGGACATGTCCACAACAACCGATGAAAACTGCATGACAAGAGCGCGCACGCTCATGTTGGGGTAAAAACCGTCTCTGTGTTCATTTCCCAGGGTTAGTGTCTGAGATCAGTGTGTTAGAATATTGTGAACATAATCAGCACAAAGAATGAAATCAGCTTTTATGCTCAGTACCTTTAACAGCTGCAGGTTTTCATACCAGTGTTCTTTCTTAAAGCTCTGTACTGTGTGAATATTGCGTGATTAGGTATGATGTATATTAAGGTTCGCTAATTGCTGTGAAATACTGTAGCATTTTAACGATGGGTAATTTACCTTGTGTTTATTTTATGCTGTTGGATTGCATTGATTACTGTTAACTGTTGCTCCAACGACTGTGACGTTCATCTTGATGGTGCACATTTGGAAGTATACTGTTTGTCAGTTGTCTGATAGTGAATGTAGCAGAGGTTTCTCACATTGGTTTGGAGTTTGTTATCGTCTGCATTGATTTAGTGCCAGTGAACGAGACGTCATCAGGTGACGGTAGATGTCATAATACTGTTCCAACCCCCCGGACACACTTACTGGGATCATTTCATTAAGTTGTCAGTGACAAACCTGCATCTCAACCCAAACCCAGTTACTGTGAAGTGTAGATATAAGATAGTCTTTCTCTGTAGCGGCTCGTTTTTAATCATGAGCACGGCTTTAATTTTGACTGACACGTTCTGCACTGTCAGTCATGATGAATCGTGGACGCCCGCTGACGTCATCATTCTCTGATTCAATTAGTGAGATTGAATTACTATTAATGGCAAAACCACATAAGGATTTTTTATTTGTCTTATCTTTACGACCTTGACTTTACTCTGTTTAAAGTTTGCTTTGTAGATTTTGTGAAAAAAAAATCTCACATCGCTAGAAATCGCTCATTATTTTATTGGTTTTTGAATTTTGAAATCTTTTACCTGCAATAGTCAAACAATGGCCCTTCAACAAAAATATCTGACCTCTGAACTCTGTATTTATTTAAATAGATAAAACAACAGTCAGTATGTTAGCTGTTTTTAGCTTCTAGCTTGTTGCAACTATGAAATCAAATATTAAAAACAGATTTACAACTCTGTATTTTTCCACCATGCTTATAACCCTATTGAAACAAATACTGAATGTTTATATCATCTTCCTCTCCCTCAAAACCCAATTAACTCCCCACGTCATCCCCACTTCTGGATTGATCGATTTGTAATCAAAAATATTTCAGGCTCTTAGGCTCCGTCCATCAGGTTTAACTCATTCTGTGAGATTATTTCTTCTTTGAGTGCAGCTTCAAATTGAATTCCAGTTTGCAAAGTGTAGGTCCTTTCAGAGCAGAACAACCTGAACACTTCCAGGTCTTTATTTTTCCTGCGCCTCAGCTCCAGCGTTGTCGTCTTGTGTCTGCTGACAAAGTTAAAAAAGCTCTCATAGTTGCACCTCGACTTTGCTTCATAGGGATCAAAACACTGCAGCGACATCCAGTAAAACCAGAGACAGACATTTACTTTGTAGACTCTCTGCTGGTTTTCTACTTCCTGTGACTGAAACAGACAGCCCTGGATAAATAACAGATACTTCCTTACACAACACAGATGCAACTGTTCAACCTCTATTATGCCCAATGCATGCTGGGATAATCCCAGACCCTTTCTGACTTTGAACGGGCATAAGCAGGTAAACAATAAGGAGATGATACACACCTTAACGCCATGTGTAACCGTCACTGGAGACAGTTGTGTGTTTTATTCAGACAGGGCTGTCATCTCTTTCAGTCTGGTGCTTCTGGTCTTGAGACGACCAACAATCTTTTCTCCAGGAAGCCTTCTGATCCTCTGACCTTCCTCAGATACCAGCCAACAACTGGACACACACACACACACACACAAACAAATACACAGACACACACACACACACACACTCTCTGACCCACACACACATTTTGCTACAAACATGGTGCAGACATTCGCCCTTCTCCTTTCTCTGCGACACACATCACTAACACACACATACAAGCATACACACTGTGGATTCGCCGGCTGCCTGCTGCCATCAGGCTGGCCACGGCACCCCCGGGTGTGACATCGCCACCCTGCGTCACTTGGTGCTCCCAACCCCCCCCCCGCCCCCCCCCCCCCCCCCCCCCCCCCCCCCCCCCCCCCCCCCCCCCCCCCCCCCCCCCCCCCCCCCCCCCCCCCCCCCCCCCCTTCCACCTCACCCCCAGGTGCTGCATGTCAGTCAGTCAGTGTAATCTCTGATTTCATGTTAGATTAGGGAGTAAAGATAATAAAAATAATGGTAATAATATTACAATAATAATCTGTTATTGTGTGTGTGTACTGTTCCAGGTTGGTGCTCAGTTCAGTTCAGTCTCAGCCTGTAGAGGGGAGAGAGGGAGGCTCGAGAAAGCATATATTACAGTTAGTATAGTGACTTGTTCTATTGTATCCAAGGAGGCCGGAAGAAATTGTTGTTATAAGCGATGAGCCAAAGGACACACGCTCTCAAACAGGAGACGAGCTGAAGTGGCACCCGCTTCGTGGGAAATTGGTGAAAATGTCAAGAATATGCTGCATCTCCCAATAAGTCTGTGGATCTAAAGCTTAGTCCGGAATTACACCAACATTAAATGGGGTTTTTCTTGCCCCATGTCCCGTCCTTCCATCTAACTTCTGTGTGATTCTGCTGACAAACAAACCAAGAGGTGAAAATGTCACCTCCTCGTAATAAGAAGGATCCTGTGGTCTCTTCCCTTTTATCTTGTATTTGGAAAAGTAAACTTTCCTGAAACAGGGACCACAGTTGTGAACCACTGGCTTTTTGTCCCATCAGATTTTTCTGCAGACGTTACTTCAGCGTGTGTCTGTTTGAGAGCGGTGCAGTTCGGTCAGAAGCGAGAGTCGATATCTTTAAATGATGGGTGACACGGTGATGGTGTTTCTGTTCGCCTACATCGACAGCTGTTAGGCTGAGTGATGCGCTGTTTTAAACACTGATACACAAACAAATACACACAGATACACACTGTTACTGACACACAGAGCGAACGGCGCTCGGACGCAGAGACACACGCACAACACGTACACACACAATGCTGTGGCGCATGCAGACACTCATCTCATGGACTAAATGAAAGATGAGCTTTTCGGGAAAAGGAGGAACTGGTGGTGTTTCAAAAGGTGCTAAAATTTTATCTGAAAATAAGAAAAATATATTGTTAGGAATATAAATCAAGTTTGTCTTTACAATGACTGTATTTAAGTTTGTCGTAGTAATGAAAAGGCACTATTATTATTTTACTCTTGTATGAATATGAACTAATTAAAAAAAGCATTTTAACTTTGTACTTGAACAATGTAAGAAATGAACCGTGAATAAAAAAAAGGACTGTTTCTTGTGATCCAGCCTGAAAATCTCCATGTTTTTCAACTGTGTGTGTGTGTGTGTGTGTGTGTGTGTGTGTGTGTGTGTGTGTGTGTGTCTGTGTGTGTGTGTGTCAGTGAGAAATATAATAACCTGTGAAGTCAAAACTTAACTCAAGCTCCTATTGTTTTCTGTGTCTAACAGCTAATTTAACTGTGGCGGATGTCAGTTCTCTCTCCAGGCTCCGCTGTGGCTCAGCAAGGTTTTTGAGATTTTCCAATTTACCATCACTTCACTGAAGCCAGGGTAAAGTAGAACCACCGGGGAACTACCAGATGGCGTATTTGTATTTCATCTCGTTGTGAAGTTGTGTTTAATTGCACTGACACAATGAAGGGAAAGACTCATGCATGTTGCTCTGTCTCAGTACTCAGGATGGATTGACCCTTTATATTTAAAGCGAGTCCTCTCTACGGAGGCCGCCATGTTTGTTTGTTTTTACAGTAGACTGGACAAACCAAACCTTTTTGAGTTTTTATGACAACTGAAGGTTTCCATATAGGTTCTCCCTCGTGTTTGGAAGGGGAGGGTGAGGTGAGGGGTGTTCAGCTGCAACATGACACTTCACCACTAGATGTCACTAAATTCAACACGCTGGACCTTTAAGAATGTATTAATCATCATTGATCTCCATCAGCTCTGGTGTTTAAATCTCTTCCCTCTGTTAATCTCTTCCTGTGAATTCTCTCCAGCGTCACTCTGCCATGCTGTCAGGTGGGCGTGTCTCCACTCTGAGGCTTCTCTGCGCCATATTGTTGCCTTCACGTGCTGCTTGTAAACGCTTGTCGACCAAAGTGCAGCATTCGTGTGCTGCACATCAGAATATCAAACTTGCTGAATTGGATTTCTTTTTTCGTTGACTGATGTTTTGTCGTGGAGATCGATCGGTGCACAACAGAAAGAAAAGCAGAACAAAATAGAGTGAATGTAGTTGTTAGTAATTAATGTTTCCATCCTTTTATATATTTGCCAATGAAATACTACAGAACATTACATTTTCTATAATATGTATAGATAATATAATATTTTACTATCAATTCG